AAGAAAGAAAGAAAGAAAGAAAGAAAGAAAGAAAGAAAGAAAGAAAGAAAGAAAGAAAGAAAGAAAGAAAGAAAGAAAGAAAGAAAGAAAGAAACTATTAGTAGTGCTTTAATCTACCACTGACCGTCAACACGGCAGGCTCACTATGGTAATTTTTAACACTCACAACAAAACAACAGATCTAGAGGAGCAACTACAGGGGAGAACAAGTCACGTAAAAAATATGGCGTCCGAAGAAAAAGAAGAAAAAGATCGCGATGATGACTACCAAAGCGTTCTCCCCAAATACGGCTGGCGAGTTCATCTAAGTAATACCTATTCTCACACTCCCCAGGCCTGTTATCTTCCTCGATGGACTCAAATACCAAAACTAGTTGGACTCGGATGGAGGTATAACAAGAGTATCTTCTTGAACGGAAATAAATATTTATTCGACTGACTGTAGATGATTTTAAGTCTCTAATGGACTACATACGTGTTTTTTAGGTTTATGAAGTATGCTACTAAGAAGAAAAGAAACGGTGAAGTGCCTTACATCGATCCTTACTCAACAAATCCCTGTCGACAGGTTTACGGTAAGGGATAAAAAATATGTGGGAAAAAAGCCGCTTAATTTATTGACAGTGTGAAGTAACGCATAATATTATTCCTTCGACTTATGAACGTATGTTCAAATCTACTCAGATTGACTTTAACTTTCCTATTATTTAAAACCCATACTGTGAGTAACCTTTACAGTTTGATTCGTTAAAATTTTGTTCAAAACGGAAGCCTATTTTTATTCATTCATTAGCTACATGTCAACGCAACATTCGGAATAACATTCTAAGAATTTTTTTTTTAATCTATGCTTAGGCTTATATATCTTTTCTTCTTATGTTCTACAAAGGATATTTTTATCATTCCTGACAAAGGAACTCGATTCAATTATAACTGTAAATTGAGTTTTTAGAGTTTGGTTTTTCAAATTTATTCTCGCCCCGTTTTGGTTTGTTCTTAATATTTAACTAAATTATATTTTTTCTTTCTCGCTTTCTCTCATTGCTCGCTTTTTTCCCTTTCCTTCCTACAACAGTAAAACAACGGTTTTTGAAACCTATTGGGCTATGCAACGTTATATAAAAACTGCTGAAATCTTAGGTATCAATTAGAAAAGAATGGAAGGAAAGAAATAATCCACATGATTTCAGTTTATTTTTAGACATGCCACATACCATCAAAATTAGTTTTTTTAAAAATTGCTTTTCCAGTTTTAAAATTAGTATTCACTATTACTAATAATTAATAACGGGATTGTAAATAAATATAAAAGATACCAGATAACAGAGTCAAAATTAGATTTAGTACCATTACCAGATTTGTAAATGGCAAAAACTATTTTGACTAGCTTATATTTTATCATCCAGTTTATAATTTTATTAGATTATATGAGTTTTGTGTCATTACATATAAGTATAATGATAATTTGAAAAACACATATTGAATATTATACTTTTCTGTGTTATGTAGTATTTTGAAAAATTAAAATTGAATGATTTAACATTTTTTATTGGCATGCAAACAGAATATAATAATAATTACTGTGTAAGTAGATGAAAGTGAGGTTAGAATGATAGGTTATATTGGTATCTTTTATTATTTATTTTAAGTGGGAGGATATGGGTGAGTATTTGAGGAGAGGGGTTGGTGTGAAAAAAAATTCCATTTACTTTGTTCTGAATAATTTTTTCTCTCATGTGCAGTCCAATAAAATTTATCATATTGATTGAGTAGAAAGTGTGGTAGGTTGGCCTTTACATTTTTAGCTCATCTGAGTTTTCATTACAAGTTTTGATTAGAAATAATATAGGAGATCATTAACTACCCATCCGGAGAGCACTCCAGGGTTTTCATAAAGTTTTGAAATAATAGAAGATCAAATAAAAACACAATCATTGCATCAATGATGTTACTCTGTAGGGCAGCGTGATAAAGTTTGAAAAAGGTTAATAGTCCCATAGCTTTGAGTTTCCCGGTGACTAGACCAGGTTTGCGATATTATCAGACCAAAGCCAGGGTAAAATTGTATTGACGTAAGTCTAAAAAAATGTGGCATCAACTTGAAGATAATAAAGGCTAAAATGAATAAAGGCTTTGATATTGATCCACACAGATTGTAACATGTATATATATCAATTCTATATAGGCCAGGTGAGTCAGTGAGCCAGTCCAAGGGGTGATAGAAATCTAATACATATGTCTGGTAGAAAGAAGCTAAATAGATTGATAGATAGCATTGTACAAAACATCTATACCACTTGTATGAGGGTAGATTAAAAATAATTTACCACTTACTTAACGATGAACAAAACATAATTCCCTATTCTCTTTTTGATTGGTCAACAATTTTTAAATGTCAACACCTAGCAGTTTTTAATTTTGATTGATAGAGCTCTTAGAGCCTAGTTTTAAATATATTACTTATTCCGATGCCCAAAATTGAAAAACATTTCAGAGTTTTTCATCACATTATTTCTTTAAAAAGATACAACTATGCCAAAATTCATTGTCAAGTGAGGCTGAAAGCAAGAAGGAAGAAGTTGATGGACAAAACAAATGCTTATAATCCTCTTGTAATCTATTATATCCTATGATGTAATTTATTCGACTTAGGATTATTTTGACAGAAATAAGATTAATGTATGATATGAACATGACCATACAATAACCACTTTCATTGTTATAGTGGCTGAAAGCTTGGTTTTTAAATAAAACTTTATCAACGAAAAAAGTGAATGGCTTACTGAATAACTGCAGAATGGTAGGATGAATTAAAGTCAAACATGCTAGAGGCGCGCGTACATGGGGGTTAGGATAGGGACTGTCTTGAAATGAAATAATATCTTAGTTTTTAATTCTTTGTTCAAGAATTATTATGATTACTGATTTGGATTACTTAATTGTTATACAGGAGTACCCCTCGGAGGTATAGGGTGTGGCACAATAGGGCGTGGATGGAAAGGAGAGTTTAATAGATGGCAACTGAAGCCAGGAATGTACTCGTACGATTACGTAGAAGCTAACCAGGTAGAAAATGACATCACAATATTGATTTATGCAATCATGAACCAAAAGAAACTGCTTGAAAAGGCTGCTGTAATAGAAGATGTTATGCAAACATTTGAACTTAAATTGCGCATTACGATTGTTTTGCTTTCTCATCAAGGCATTTGCTGCTATGTATACATTGCAAGTCATGATATATGCCGCAATATATAGGCCATTTGCACTAACAGTGTTTATGACTGACACTATAATCCACCCCTTAAATCAAGCAGTTATCTAACCTACGTTTACAAACAAACTGAAGAAACCTATGTTCCATTAACCCAATTTATTTTATTTTATTTTATTTTATTATTCATTTATTTTATTATTTATTCATTATTTATTTATTTTATTTTAGTGTACTTAAAAGTACACTATCTTTTCATATGAGCAGAAAGTAAAAGATTCAGTACTATAGAATTTAAAATAATGAGAAATTTTGATTTTGCTGAATAAAAATATTTTTTTCACAGCACAAAAAATAAATAAATAAAAAAAGTAGCAAGTACTAATTTCCTAACTCCTATCATTTACAGTTTACAGTTTGTGTACGAAAGAAGGGAAGAACCACATATCAGGTCAGTAAAATTTGAAAATAATGGAATTTGGAACTTATAGTCATTTCAGTGATTGAAAGCTAGCGTAAAAAATACTGCTTCTCTGCTTTCCCAAATGAATTACCCCTCGATCCTCTTTCTAAAAAATCCTTTTAGACAGAGTGTAATGCTTGCACATTACAGACCAGATGTCATTCCTTTTGTTTGAGTTGTATCAATATTCATGATGATGCACAACTGTTAAACAAGGAAATCAAACTCAGGGAATGACACATGGAGTAGTATAGGGAATGGGGGTTCCAGCGCAATCTCAACACGGGGCAAGACCCGTGTCAAAAATCCACCTACGGACGACCCCCACTCCAAGTGTGGTTGAGGGCAACAGCGCACTTAAAT